CTATTATTATTAATAGTTTTAATGATTTCTGCATCGTCAGTCCTTTTTTATGCTCTGTCACCAACATGTACAGTAATGGGCAATCCAGTCTCTTGACCGTTTTGCGTTAGCCGTTAGCTTCTACAGCCAATCACACGGTCASGTGGTTTCTGAGCTCCAGCTGTTCTATACAGTATACCTCCATTGGTGGCCCTTAAAGGGCCAKTTGYAATTACCTTCAACATTTCGTGTTTAACTTCAAYTAAACATKAAACATCAYGTTTCTCGTCTCATTGCTACAACGGAGTGCCACTAACAAACAATAACTGAGCTCTACCTGGTATTTCCTGCATATAAACAGCGTTTTAACACATCCTGTTTTAAACTCTGAAAAGTACTACGTGTACGACTGACTAAATGAAATAAGTAATACTAAAATACTACTAAAACTAAAGTAAGAGAGGTTTACTCACAGTTGAGTTGTGGTGAGTAGCCGCCATCTTGATTCCTGATTTTTCCCACTTTCCCACAGATAATTCCAGTTTAWATTTACAACTTGTAAGTGGGAAACTCCCACTTCCCAGTACAACTGGGCCACAGCAAAAGTAGCAGGTAAAATGCTATMAAAAGCAGCGTAAAYGTATTTTAAGATAYTAATACATCTTCAAGGCTCTCACGGGCMGCATAAAATGCTGTGATGGTCCACATCTGGCCCGCAGGCCTTGAGTTTTGACGCATGTGCATGATAGTGAAAGACGTATGTTTTTTTCAAATTACAAAAAAACATCACAAACTATTCAGTCATGTTAAAAATAGCAATGATTGCAGATGATTTCATATTCATAAACTATTTTTAGCGTTCAAAGTGTGTAAAAATAAAACCTTTCTGCCCCGAGGCATCAACGACGGAGGAGGCAGTCACGATCTACACATCAAAGAAAAAAAAAATGCTGCTTCCGTCGCTCATCTGATGAGCTGTCTGAGAGTTTTTATTTTATTTTATTTTATTTTTGCCTGTTAGAGCTCAAAGTAATGAGTCACCATGAAAATATGAAAATATACAAGTGAGGATTAAATTTGAATATTGCACATTAATGTTTAATCATGTTTCCGTGCATCTGGGCGGCAGGCTGCTGGAGGAGGGAAACCTGGAGGCTGCGGAGGAGCAGAAGCAGAGGATCGAACAGCTGCAGAGAGACCGGCGGAGAGTCCTGGAGGAAAACCACGTGGYGCATCAGCCCAAGTTCTTCAGGTAGATGAATTATCCAGACAGAAAGCCGTTGGACCTTTCTGATTTTTCTGTGAACATCACAGAAACAGACTTTTAGGGTTAATTTACATCCATCCTGTGTTCATCATCGTACCCTGGTTCTATACCTGACCTGGAGTCAACAGAGGCTCAACTGATTTCAGTGAGCATAACTGAAAGTCACTCATATTTCAGAGAAAAAAACAAATCATGAGGTTGATYGAATCAAAGACCTGTGAGGTGGGATTGTGTCAAAACATGGGCCTGGTCTTTTAAAGTGACCAGCCTCCATTATTCTCACAAGCAGCAGGTTTTATTCACCGTCTTCATCGGTCTCTGCAGCTGTTCAGAATCAGCACAGAGGAATTTCTGCCACCTGGGCAGACGTGCAATCATCAAGACTTTGTTAAATTATAGTTGTTCAGAGTGGAGGGAAAGAATCACCTTGGAGACATTTGAACCATCAATTACTGTGCTCTGTTATCTAAACTGGCACACTTTGATTTTCCAGAGAAGCTGTTTCTTTTATGATATCATATCTGTTGAACAGAACACAGAACTAAACACAAAAAGTGAGAAAACTTGTGTTTGGTGTGTTATGTCTTTGTTGTWACGATGCTTCTTGGCAATAAGTCTTATTAACAGGAAAGCCTGTTCATTTCTCTTTGACTGACTCACAACAAAGAACGGTGGGAAAGTGTTCCAGAGCCTCGGGGCCACAGCTTGAAATGCTCGCTCTCAGTTCGCATCATCAACAGCATTTGAGTTGAAGATCTCAGAATCCTGGACTTAAAAGGTTTCATTAGCATCCTGCCTATAAAGAGCCCCAGAGGTTATGATTAAAAAAAAATAAATTACTCCTTAAATGCACAAGGAGGCCAGAACAGGAGTTATATGTGCTTCTCTGTTGGTCTTAATTAATAGGTCAAATCATCTGACCTTGTAGGCGTCCCACAGGGCTCAGTTCTTCAACCAGTTTTGTTCTCATTTGAAGTCTGAGATGGCAGCATCTTTCTGTGTGAATTTCTTTTTAATAACATACAAACATTAAAGCTGATGATGGTGTTTGGGTGAATGCTGAAATATTTTCTGTTTTAAAATAAATAGTTTAGCTTGTTAGTTTGTCATGCTAGCGCCGAGCTAATGCATATAAGGCAAAATAGCGTCGGCACTAAAGCTAAAGCTAACAGGCTAAGCTGAGGTTCTTCTTCCATGAAGCAGCTCTGTTGTCCTCCATCCATATTTTCAGTTCCAGGCTGAGTCATTTCTACCTTCTCCTCTCTGTCAACGCTCTCTGGTTTCATTTAAAAGAGTCGATCATCAGATATTGTCCAAGATTAACCTTCAGGGTGGATATAGCTCGCTAGCAGCCTCGCACCGAGGACCTATCCATGTCATCATTTGTAAATAAAATGGCTCCGTCCATGTTAAAATATTTTTTTCAAAATTATAAAACCTAAACAGTATTTTTACAGTCTTTATTGTACAGTTAAAATAAATATTTATCAAATGAAGTCCAATGTTACAAATAATCGTGGATCCCTTTAAGAAATCTAGCATCACCTGATCAACTAAATGAACCTTCATTCCGTAGAGATGTTTTCCTTCTACATCTTTTAAAATAATTTCTCTTCAGTTTATTTGTATAACACCAACTCACAATAGAAGTCATCTCGGGGTTCTATACAAAGTATCAGGTCCAAATTATAAATCTAACCAACTCAATCCAGTTATAACATCACACAGTCAGACTCAGTGCATTTCAAGATTCCAGTTAGTAAAAAAAAAACGTCTAAAAATGCCAGCAGATTGTGTTAAAACGGCACTTTGGTGCAACCCCCCCGATCCAGAGCAAGTGCAGAGGTGACTGTGGGAAGGAATGACTCCCTTTTAACGGGAGCAAAATCTCTATCAGAACCAGGCTCAGGCTACAGAAAAACATTAATAAAAACATTTTTAAGGGAACTCTGGAATTACCTAAAAACATAAGAAAATATTTAAGTCCAGTTCAGCTGATTCGTGTCATTTTGTTGCAGCTCTTATTGCATTTTGTTTTTTGTCTCCCCAGGAAGTCAAAAGAAGAGACCTGGGTGAGCAACAACACTTACTGGGAGCTGAGGAGGAACCCCGGCTTCGCTCACGCAGACTTTCCAGCTCTGTGGTGACTGCAGAGCTGCAGCCCCTCCACTGTGATCCAGGCTGGTTCTGGTGACGTCTGTAGCCCGAACCTACCACCATTCAGATCTACCGTAGTCTTCATCAGAGTCGTTGCCTTAATAACAAGTGCTTATCTATGTTGTGGAAACGTTAATGCAAGCGTGCGGGGGATTTTTGCCCACATTTTGACTCATTCTATGTTCTGTTTACTCAGAAAAGGAGAACTCGATATAAAAAACCAATATAAAAAAATCACTATCGCTTCAAATTACTGAACATAAGTTGACATTTTCTACCTCGAGTATAAACTAGCCTTGAAATGTCAACGATGGATCCTGATGTTTATTCTGCATCATCGCTTGATGCCTTACTGGTCGTACTTGCATTGTTCGTTTTATTTTATTGCATCTACGTTTTGGTAAAAATGCACAGAAACTCCTTCAAAAGACTCTCAGATCCTCACTGTGCGGAGCTTGGTGTGTCGTAAACGTAATGACAGCGACTTGGCTTTGTGCAAACGATTGTGCAGCTATGAGCACTGTAGCAAATATCCATCCCACTTGTTTCATCTTTGTTTTTCTCTTCACTTTATTCAATGAAACGTGCCGACACTGACCCTCAGAACCAAAAGTGTCCAAAACTATGTGCTCCGTGAAACAAAATAAAATCTAATTTTTTCTTTTTGTGATGTCTTTTTCTCTAATTGCTTCAACTTGAGCTCCCCTGAAAACATCACTCAGACAGACAGTGATGTTCTGGAGTTAAAGAAATGAAGACAGAACTCAGAAACAAAACGGTTTAATTAATTATTCTGCCTGGTCCTGCAAAAAAAAAAAAAAAAAAACCCTAGCTGAGGAGAGAAAAAGGCACAAAAAATAAAACTTTCCTGCAAAAAGAGTGAGGGAAAAAATTTATGACCATTGTCTTCCAAAAGAAATTGCTAGCCAAAAAAAAAAAACCTCAAAGTTCAAACAAAAGATGGACATGGTGAGCCAGCTAAACAAAACAAAAAGGTGTGGCAGTGGGCCAACCCTATAC